TAAATTTATTGTCAAACGTAAATTTTCTGTTTCTTCAACATATAGTTGTTTACAACAAATACAAGATAATACATAAACAACATTATGTGAAATATAACTGAATATAGAGTTTATAAAAAAAAAGCATTTTCTCCCCAGTAGGGCCTGTAATATATTTAGTGTATGTAATATAACTTTTCCCACAAATATAACAATTTGGTTTACTGCAGGGAAAAATACTTTCATCAGATTTCTATACTTTATTTATCTGATTTAAGATAGTACATAAATTTTTATCTTGTCTTCGTGATAATAAGATTTGATTATTTTCAAACTTAGCTTTTATTAGAGTTTTATCTGAAAATATTTCCTATTCGTTTTGGATATCATTAATATTAATTCCAAGGTAATGCGATATTATAAAGAAAAATAATTTGTTCTTCTTTAATATTATTATTATTTGTTTCTTTTTTTAATCTTAATTAACTTAAAACCTCTCTCTATTACACATTTCGGATAATGACAATTTCTAAGGTTAGATTTTAATTCAATCAGTTTGTGTTGTTGAACTTCCGTGCGAGAAACGATAGAAAAAATTATTTAAGCTAGGCAAAGCGGAATATTTAATTTAGTATGTATAGGATGATTACTATAAAAATCAAAATACTGGTATGAATTAGTAGGTTTGTTATATAAATCCGTTTCAATTTTACTTTTTTATAGGCCTGGCATGGCCAGGTGGTTACGGCACTCGACTTGCAATCTGAGGGTCGCGGGTTCGAATCCCCGTCACGCTCTTTCAGCCGTGGGGGCGTTATATTGTTACAGTCAATCCCACTATTCGTTGTAAAAGAGTAGCCCAAGCTGCCTTCCCTCTAGTCTTACACTGCTAAATTAGGGACGGCTAGCCCTCGTGTAGCTTTGCGCGAAATTCAAAAACAAACAAACCTTTTTTATAATTCATATATCTAAAAAGGTTAAACCTAAATTACTCATTTCTAAAGTAAAGATTATGTTATGGTTAATTGATTCAGATTTTCAAAAAATATCCCAAAATCAAAGGATCTGTTCCATAATAGAAAATAACCATCTAGAAACCTTTTACAATTTTGCTTCAAGTAATTAATATAACTACTATCAAAATAATTTGATAAACTATTGAACATTTCAATTTCAAAATATCCCATCATTAAAGCGGCAAAAGCTGAAGCCACTTTTGTTCCAGAGATTTATTGATGTATAGTAAATTATATATATAAATTATTACTTCTTTATTAAAACGTGGATGTAATAAATCTGCATATCTATCTAAATAATACTCAAAAGCTTTTATACCTCATTCATACTTAATACTTGGATAAAGAGAAATAACATATAATAATATTAACATATTTTTTAAATCAATTTTATCTAGTAAGTGATCAATAAAATCAATATCATCTCTTGTATAACTTCGTACTTTAGATGTTATATTATATACACTAAATATATTACAGGCCCTACTGGGGAGAAAATGTTTTTTTATAAACATTATATTCAGTTATATTTCACATAATGTTGTTTATGTATTATCTTGTATTTGTTGTAAACAATTATATGTTGAAGAAACAGAAAATTTACGTTTGACAATAAATTTACACAAATCTCATGTCAGAAATGCAAATAATAGCCCATTACCTGTTTTAATGAACACATTAATAAGTGTATTATAGAAAAATATAATATTTTAGAAGAACCTTTTTTCCAAATATTTCCAACTTGGTATTCTTGTGAAAAGAATAACAGATTACTGTATGAAACTATTTTATTAATAAATTCAAAAGAATGCCAGAAATGCAAATAATAGCCTATTACCTGTTTTAATGAACACATTAATAAGTGTATTATAGAAAAATATAATATTTTAGAAGAACCTTTTTTCCAAATATTTCCAACTTGGTATTCTTGTGAAAAGAATAAGAGATTATTGTATGAAAACTATTTTATTAATAAATTCAAAACCACATTAAATGTTACATAGTTTAATATATAGAGGGAGTTTAAAACATATATGAAGCTCTAAGGAAAACCGCGGGAAGTTTTACATTATTAAGTAGATCTTGTTCGAGCAAACCTTATTGTAGAAGCTGAAGAGTATCCTGGATGATACGAAACCGGTATTTTATGCTTTTATGTATTTTTATTGTTATTTATTTAATTTAAGTTAACAGTAACAAATAAAGAGTTTTTTAAAATATTTTAAAGTCATTTTTATATTGTTTCGTTTTTATTAATCGCTTTCTTCAGCAAATGACACCCGTTTCCTTGTATATATATACAAAAATATCCATTGACGAAACCATGACAACATCTTGACAACTTCTGAGAGATAATAAAAATATCGAGTTACAAAAAAAGAAGAACGAAAGAAATGAAGCACATATATAAAAACGTTTACTTGCGACTTTCAAATTTTAACATAATACACTATAACTAAGGACAGTCACGATACTCCAAGAGAAACAAAAAGTATGAGTAATATAGTGTGCTTTTAAATAGTTTTCATGTTTATTAATCTGATGAACCCATTTTAAAATACCTTTATGTACGTATTTTTAGAGCAAAGCCACATTGGATTATTTACCATGGGGAATCGATCCCCGGTTTTAGTGTTGCAAGTCCGTAGATTTACCGGTGTATCATCAGGGGAACAAATCCCTTTTTCCATCATTACGTATTTCTAGTGAAAGGGACCCGGCATGGCCAGGTGGTTAGGACGCTCGACTCGCAATCTGCGGGTCGCGAGTTCGCATTCCCGTCCCACCAAACATGCTCGCCTTTTCAGCCGTGGGGGCGTTATAATGTGAAGGTCAATCCCACTATTTGTTGGTAAAAGAGTAGCCCAAGAGTTGGCGGTGGGTGATGATGACTAGCTGCCTTTCCTCTCGTCTTACACTGCTAAATTAGGGACGGCTAGCGCAGATAGCCCTCGTGTAGCTTTGCGCGAAATTCAAAACAAACAAAACAAGCAATCTAGTGAAATATCTCATTACTGTCTACCTTTATTCAGTAGTAAATTTTTTGTGTTCCTACTACATTAAATGTTTAGGCGTTTAATGAAATTATATACATTGTAGGTACTTGTTTTTACACTCCTTTGCCCTTACTCCCATGCTTTGAATGTATGTGTGATGTTTGTCTGTCGTTTATTGTGCACACTGCTCAAACAAAAATATTTTTTACTTCCTCAATTGTTTAGTGTCTACATTCGACGTTCCACGAATTGTTTATAAATGTATATATACACAAACACTATGCATAACACAACTTTAAATACGATGATTAAATATAATTGTATAGTGGTTTTACTCATTGGATGTGGAAAGGCTTATTACGATCCAAGGTTAGCATTTGCTGAATTCCCCAATAAAAAAACTTTGAAAGACCGTGAGGCCACCACATATGTTAACCGAGATGTTTTTGAACACTGTTTTAAAAGCAAATTGTTAGAGGTAATTTTGCGCTGCACATGTTGAACAATATAGTCTTTTATTTTTTGTTGAGATTGAACCTGTAACACTTTATTTTCTACTTTCGTGAGTTACTTCTTATATTAATATTTCAATTATATAGTTTTTACAGTACTTTAATAATGGTAAATTTGTAAAAGTTTATTAGTCAGTATATCATTTTAAAATTCAAGTATCTTAACTTCACACTTTTTGTTGTTATAAACACTTAGAAAATTAAGTACTAATTTTCCTTTGTATACTGGTATAGATAGAAAATGGTCCTCAAAGACTTGTTATTTATATGCCAATTGGAATAATGTCGATTACCATGAAAACTGAAAAAAAAATGCTTTGTATCCACTGAAACATAATTATATCTATAACACTTTCCGTTATTTAACTACTTGTACAGTTGTTATAAAATTTAAAGTTTCGATGCACATGTGATACTAATATTTTTAACTTCCTGAAGAGAGTTCCAATCGAAGTTGAGAAATTCAAAAAAATACACCCTACAAACAGATTTGTATATCGTTATTTGGAAATTATTTGGTCGTTGCTTCCAATTCATCATTAACTACAGTATTTTATAAGTTTTATAAATATTATTCAAAGAAATTCCAAATTTTGATAAATCAATAAAACAGGAGTTAGAGAAAACGTCAAATTAAGTCCTTTGTTGCTGTTGTGTTCCCGTAATAGGAATGTGACGTGAAGATTAGAATTAAAAAGTTTTCAAGACTCGTTTAAACTTGCACTCTTGTTGCTTTTAACATTAATAACTTGGTATAGTTTCTACTGCAACCAAGTAAGTTGTTAAATTATTTTGATTTGATGGTATTTAATATTAGCATTATTCTCAAACTGAATTTTAATAAGATATGTTGGACCAAAAACAAGTCATATAGCTTCTATTTATCGATCCCTTGACAGCGTTCCTAGCATTAGGAGGAATAATCTTACTTCTTTTTATATTCTATTGTTTTATGGAAACTGAACTACGTACGTTATTTCATGATGATTCCTTACAACTATGTGTGAATGAAAAAATGATATAACAAAAAGACAAGGATTTATGATTCACAACTTCAACTTTATGGAGATGGAAGCCTTACCCACCAATTGCGCTTCTTTTCTCTTTTTTTCCTCTCTTTCTTCCAAGTAGTTTAGTCACTCTAGATTTCTACCATACACCGGATGACTGCGCACTAACCCTACACATATCCTGTGGTCAGGCTTTAAGTAATTTATACATTATGGTAAGCTATATAAATCAGTGTTGTGTAACCTATTAAGTTTTTTAAAACAATATACCTGTATATACACACATACACTCATTGGTTGTATGTAGGTGGCGACCTTCTTAATAATATACTTCTTGCAAGGCTGGCTCGATTCTCTTTCATTTTGACCTGACTTTCTGGCCCATATTCGTATCCTGCCATCTACTGACAAATATTCGAACTAGTCAACTTGCTTCCAATTCATGGTTTACTGAACGTTAACTATAAACTACATGCTTGGAAGTATTTCTACATTCTTGAATTAAAGAATCTCGAATGCGTATATAAAATAACGTGTGTGTATGACGGTGCATATACTGATTTATGTTCAGGTGAATAAAATGGGGACTGTGGAGTGTGACATTACTTTTACTAACAACATACAAATGGAAAACAAAATGCCCGGCTTATAATCTGTCTAAAGGACAAAACGAGTCATGACGCGTCAGTTAAGATTGAGGGTGCCTTCTGAATGAGGTAAGCAAACATTTGAGTTTTGTTGAGGGTATCAGGCTGTTTGGCCAAAAAGATCTACAGGGAGCAGTTTTTTTTAGAAAAGATAGAAAATATTTCAGTTCTAAGGAATATGAAGCCAAGATATCTCAAAAAACAGAAGTTCCTTTCGTAAATGTTTGAAGTCAATTTACACAATGATTTCTTACGTAGGCCACATCCCTTTCGTCCTCGTAGTGTTTGAACTCATGTCGCTTAATTGAAAAAATAAATACTGCAACTGTACAGAAATTTGTTATCGTGTTTTGAGGAGCAAATACAGTATGTACCTTCATTTATGATACAGTGCGTATGTTACTTCAGAACGTTAATATTTTTTCTAAGACATTTTGTACTTTTTTAGATTTTCAAATGAATTCGTAAATGAATGCTTTACTAACTGCTCCATCAGTACTTGGTGAAAAACCGTTGGTGCTTATGAATATATATATATATATATCAGACTTGATAAGTTATTTTTAACCAACCATGTGTGAAACGGATAGAAACAAATTTCCAGATAACCTGCATGTGAATTTAAAGAAAGGTCTCTCTTTTCTTACTATGTTTTAAGAGTTTTTCGAGCACAAGTACATAAAGGGTTTTCGACGCAAAGCCGTCTAATTTTGCACTGATAGACGGAAAGGCAGATAGTCAATGGTATCCATCGCCAATCCTTGGATTACTCTTGTCTAGCCGAATAGTGAGTTTTGTCAGTTACTCTTATATCTTAAGGAAGGTACCAAAGTGGGGAGCGAGATTGTATATCAACGGAACGCAAACCATGAATCCCCGGATTTATAGACTGGACATGCTTCCAACTAGGTTACACCCGGCCAAACTTTATTGAAATAAAGATAATAATTTGGGCTAGAAATCAAGTTATTACTCCTTTTAAATGTTATTTTTGATTGATTTAGGGAAACATAGGTAGTCAAGCTCCCTTCCCCAGTAGATCAGCGGTAATTCTTAAATATCATAACGTTGAAAACTGGGTTTCGATACCTGTGGTGGGTACAGAACAGACAGCTTATTATGCAACTTTCCGCTTGACAACAAACAAAGAAACAATTAGTAGTCAAAGTATCTACGCACAATATGGATGTATTTTATTCCGAGTATGCCTACCCTCTGAACCGTGAGGAAGTATTAATGCGATGTCAATCCCACTATTCGTTGGTAAAAGAGTGGTCCAAGAGTAAGAGGTGGGTGCTGCTGGACGGTTTCTTTCCCTCTAGTCGGCAGTTCAAAATAAGGAACAACGACAGATTGCGTTAGTAACGTCTTATAACAAGCTCTTTGTTTCTTGTCTCGTTATACCTATCTAATCGAAACTGTTATTTCACTATTATGGCTCTGGGTAGTTTGACAGATATGCAACTGGACTGGTAAACGCAATGCAGTACAGTAGTGAAGGAAGGAACATGTGATGTTGAAACATCTTGTTACTATATATATATATAATTTGTTGCGCTACAATTTTCGAGGAATATTCTATTTTTGTTTTAAAAATAAATAAGATATAGCTTTATAGTTAATAGTATGTATGGGCATGTTTTCTAAAATCTAAGAACAACTGTAAGACACTCTTTCCCTTTCAGTGTTCTATGGGTCTTCATATAAGTTTGGTATCTGCATCAAGAACAGGAAAAACATGGAGTTGTATGTATATATATTTAGTTACAGCTAATCACAGCTTTATCTTTGCTGGGCATTCCACATAAAAGATGATTCACTTTTCTGTAAACTACCACGCCTCATATACTTCCGTTCTTATTTGCGCATTGTGCAGACTTGCAAGGAACTTAACGTTAAGAATGCATAATTAAAATACAAGCTAAAAAGTTTGAAGTACGTGTTGAACCTTGAGAATGACTAAAGGATTTCGAAAAGACAAGGATTTCAGTAGACACACTCCCTAGTCATTACATTTAATCCAAGACTAAAATCGCTGATACTAAGGGCAAGAAGTGTTGAATTTGAAGCTCGAAAATCTTTATTAAACCTGAAAAGGATCATGTACTGTGGGAAGATGGGAATCACAAACTTTCTAATCTGAAGCCTAATCTAACGCACTGTCTAATGATCGAGCAGTGTCTAATCTAAATTGGAGACCACATAGTGTCATCAGTCCCATTGCACAGATATCCATAGATGCTGCATTTTAGTACCAAATAGGATGAACTAGCAGAGACCCGCAAAACATTTGCGGTAAATTAGTATCTTTATTGCAACATAACTTCTTTAAATACACTATTTCTAGAATAATACAAATTAATTCTAATCGCAGACACCGAAATCTCTAAGTCCAGTTGCATTAAGCCTAACATTAGTTAAACCTTAATTAAGTACGGCCTATATTCGATAAAAAGATAAATTAGCATCACAAGTGTGTATGTTTTTTGCGTTTATGTTTAGGGCTAAGCCTTACCATACTTAATAGTATCAATAAATAATGTTATAATCTTATTCTACGACCTAATCTTATACCTTTTTAAAACTTTGATAAGCTTTAATATGTTATTATACTTAGTTATTTGTTTTGAATTTCGCGAAAAGCTACACTAGGGCTATTTGCGCTAGCCGTCCCTAATTTAGCAGTGTAAGACTAGAGGGAAGGCAGCTAGTCATCACCACCCACCGCCAACTCTTGGGCTACTATTTTACCAACGAATAGTGGAATTGACCGTCACATTATAACGCCCCCACGGCTGAAAGGGCGAGCATGTTTGGTGTGACTGGGATTCAAACCCGCGACCCTCAGATTGCGAGTCGAGCGCCCTAACCACCTGGCCATGCCGGGCGTTTATTACACGAAATGTCCACTAACGTATATTTACTTCTGCCTTTTGTTTACTTCCGTTGAAATGAAGTGCGCGTGCATTTTCAGGACAGACAAAAACTAAGCCTTTTTGTAATATATATCCGTTTTATTCTCCAGCTGCTTGAGGATACATATCTATCGAGAAAATAACTTGTGTCACTATTCCAAGCAGAAATGCTTCTTGATTATGTTGCGTACTGTTGCTTGAGGCACGTAGAAGGCTTTTGCCACTGGCCTTTGTGGATTCTCGCCTGTTACAAAACGTTACACTTTCGTTACCTCAGCTGGGGTGCAACTTGTTGCAGGTTTTTTCTGGATAGTTCTGGTTTCTCCACATGGATCCGTGTTTTTTTTTGTTTCCCAAAGCTATTAAGTGCAAGGGATATCCCCGGTTTTTAATTTCTAAATCCACAATGATATGAGTATGCGAATATTTGAATCGGAAAGAGCTGTTACACATTATTTTCCAAAGCGATCAAATTTTGGTAGCATCATTCAACCTATGACCACCAAACATCATCAAAATGTACTTCTGATATATGCCGTTCAAACATAATTTTATGTCGGCTGTGGTTTTCACTTGCTTATTTAAAATTGTTATATATAACGTACGCTATACTGTACGTTTACAAATGTACATATATGAATGTAAAAGGAAATTATATGTACATTGTAAGTTACATATACAATGTTTTTTATCTGGACTTTTGACTTTTAAATTCAAATGTACAAGTCATGGTTTTGGATATTGTGTCAGAAAGATATCCGTAAGAGATGACAGTCTTATTAAAAGACTGTGCGACAAAACAGCCTGTTGTTAGTTAGTTCTGAGAAAAGCACATACAAAAAAGAAACAGAAATGTTTGGAATAGTCGTTTTTATTGATACTAAAAGACTCTGGGTCGGAATACAGATATTAATAAGTTGTTCGTAAGCACAAAACTACACAATGGGCTATCCTTGCTGTGTCTACCATGGATATCGAATCCCGTTTTTTAGCGTTATAAATTTTCAGACTTACTACTGAGTCACTGGAAATCTAGTAGCTTTGGTTACCTTATGCCAGAGAATGATCCCTGTCTTGGCCACAGCGCAATTAAAAACAAATAATTTTTCTCGTATCTGTGTAAGTAGTTGATATTATTAAATTCTTGAAAAAATGAATTGTAATAACCTACATAATACAATCGTATTTGGGTTCACATTTTATTGTTTTATATGATTTTTCTCTCTCTTTCTTGCAGGATTCCTAAGAAGAACAAATTATTTTATAAGAAAATTCATCTGAGGTTTACTGGTGGATTAAACTAGTCTATGTATCCCTGAAGTTTTGATGAACACTCTTGGATATACGTTTAAAATAAAAATAATTCGTGCGTATGGTCTTGAAAATTCTTCCACTTTGAAGTTCGATGGCAATGATGTTAATACGTCTTCAAATCAAAGCGTTTTATTTGTTACAATGAAAATAACCAATGAAAAGGTTCTTTCAATTCCATCTGGCATGGTATATAATAACTTTTAAAAAAGATTGCTTTCCTTGTTTTTGCAATTTAACATAACTGAGGTTTTTACAGTCTTCGGCACGACAAGTACCAAAAAAATATCAATTCATGTTTTTGAACTATTGTTTTTGTGAACCAAAAAACAAAACAAAAATGGATTATTTACCCCATTCACGTAGATGGATAATAAACACAATGTTCGTGAGTTTTCAAATAATGTTGGCGACTGGCGAAATTAAAAATGTGATGCAGAACCTAAAGAGTTTCAACAATGGTAATGTGTTAGCTCCTTTGTATCGCGTTATTGTTCAGAGGGAGTCGGGAAATGTTTTCGTAGGTGGTCGAAATGCGATATATAAATTAACAAGTGATTTGCTTGTTTTGGAAAATTTTGAAACTGGACCCAAAGCTGACAATTCGAACTGCTATCCTATTCCCTATGATTGTGACCACAAGCGAGACTTTAAAGACAACGATAACAAAGTGCTTCTATTTTATAAACAAATCAATGATACCGAAGATTTTATACTTAGTTGTGGTACTATCTTCCAAGGTACGTGTAGCTTTCACTCTTCAAATATTTTATCCCATCTCATTGATATTGGCCCAGGAAATTACACTGTTAGTTACATTGCTAGTAGAAACTCAACTGTTGCTTTTTTTGCACCTGGACCCAACTCAGGAAATGTTTTGTATTCTGCATCATCTTACGACGGAAGACAACCTAATATGTCTCCAATGTCAGTAGGTAGTAGAGCTATTAGATTCACACCAGACAAAAGAGCTGTGTTTAAATACACATTCAGTTCAGAATTTTCTATTACTGGGATTGATATTCACGAAAAGTTCAAACCGAGTTACGACGTTCAATACATATATGGCTTCAGTTATGACAACTTTTCTTATTTTGTTACTGTACAACCAAAAAATCCGAAGAGCCGGGTGTACGAAACTCGCCTAGCACGTGTATGTCAAAAAGATGTGACATTTTTTTCATACACGGAATTACCAATCAAATGCACAGGTTTGCTTGATTACACAATTGCAACAGCTGCGTATTTCGGGCCACATTACATGGAAACAAATAGCAACGAAGCTCAGAAAGCCGTTTATGTGTCTTTTTCCTACTCTCAGCCAAGTCTTTATGGTCACCAGCTTGACAAAACTAAGGGATCACAGTTGTGCTTATTTACAATGTCGGATATAATCAGTGCCTTCACAACAGGTGTGCAACAATGTTTTCAAGGAAATCGTACCATTGAACACCTAGAGGTTTTAGAAGGAACTACAGTTGAGTGTACCAAACAAGTAAGAATGATTTATTTTTAGTACGTTTTGTACATATTTCGTTCCAATGAGTTTTAAAGTAATGCACAGTAGTTTGATTCCTACATTGTTACATGTCAGAAATTAATTATTTTATAGATTTAGTATGCTGCCTTCTATATTCACAAATTGATCGCTAGAAGACATTAAACTAGGTAAGAAATTAATTATTTTATATTTAGTATGCTGCCTTTTATATTTCTAATCGATCTATAAATACATTAATGATTACCAAGCATTGATGAATTGACAACCTTTTCCGTTTAAAACGATAATTGATCTGATTTTCGTTTTTCTTTTCATAAAGTTATCTTTTAAAATATGAAAGTCTGGGAATTACATGTTGTCAAATTTGTCTTTATAATTATTAAACTATTATAAAAGATCTAGTAATGTGATTATGCTGAAATTCGAAAGTATATTATAAATTATATAGAATTAGTATGAAACGGTTTGCTATTAGCTCACACTTTTCGGTTTGATAGGCTTATTTTCAACAAGTTCATTTGTAGGTATTTTTAATCTAATTAAGAATGTTAAGAAATGTTTCCTACACATTTAAATATGGAGATTTGTAGTTTATGCTTTACACTGTTTAACATTTGTTTGACAACAACAAGTAAAAGCTTTGAATGGTCTATTCTTTCATTGGGAGTGTGTCTGTGGGCCAGATTAGTTTCGGATAATTCCACTCCTCTGGACACTACCACCAATGAAACTTCAGACTAAACAAAGCCTTTATAGTAGTGAGGTATAGAATTGACTTTTCTGCTGAAGCACGTGTTTCGATAGTTTCAACAAACTATGTTTTGCTACTCCACTCTGTTTTCTGCAAAACGGTTCATCTTATCGAATTTTTTTTTTCCAGAAGATGTTCATAATTTTGAACTGAAAAAATAAAGAGGAATCAGCTGGTCAATAACACACATTGCCACCTATTGGGTTTTTCTTATCTGATCGAATAGTGGGATTTGACTCTCGCTCTCGCAGCACATCCACGACTCCAAACTGGAAAGTATGTTTTGGTTACAGCGAGTTGCGAACCATCAACTCTCGAATTCACACTCCATATGCGCTAACAACTAAACCACGCACGTCATTTATCGAAATTAATAAATAACATGCATGGGCGGATTTAGGTCAGATGGAGCTGGAAAATCTCATAGGTTTTAACATCATACCTACTGATTTAGCTGTTTGGGCGAGAAAAACAACGTTTTTAGTTTAAATGTATCTTCTTCTTCTTGTGACTTAGGAAACACCTTGATTTTTAACCTAATATTCTGGTTGCTGGGGCGAAGTAGACAACGATTTTAACATAACACGTGCAATGTATCTTTTAAGCCTGTAGGTGTGTAGACGATGATGTTTCAATTTCTCATCTGTAGTTCAATACTCTAGCTGTTTGGTTGTAGGAGATTTCTTTTCAATTTCACATCTGTAGTCTACTATTACAGCTGTATGGTTGTAGGAGGTGACGTTTCGATTTTTCATTTGTATTCTACTGTTGTAGCTGTAGTAGGGCTGTACAAGATGACGTTTCAATTTAACATCTGTAGTCTACTATTACAGCTGTATGGTTGTAGGAGGTGACGTTTCGATTTTTCATTTGTATTCTACTGTTGTAGCTGTAGTAGGGCTGTACAAGATGACGTTTCAATTTAACATCTGTAGTCTACTATTACAGCTGTATGGTTGTAGGAGGTGACGTTTTGATTTTTCATTTGTATTCTACTATTGTAGCTGTAGGGCTGTACAAGATGACGTTTCAATTTAACATCTGTAATCAACTACTTTATCTGTAGGAGGGAAATGGATGATTTTAACCACACATTCATAATCTAATACCCTAGCTGTAGGGTCCAGTAAAACTTTACCTCTTTATCTACAGGGGTGAAACAGGCGATGTTTTAACTGAACATGACTATGCAATCTATTTGGGTAATTGCTATTATAGCTGTGAAAGTGGAAAAGGTGACGTTTGAACTTTAATAAGTTATTACCTGATTTATACTTCGCTGAATAATTTTATAAGATGGCTTTGTTGCTATTATTCTATTTGCTTAACGAGAATGTGTTTTATAGTATTTTGCATGATTCTTCATAATATGTGAAATTAATCGGCTTATACTAACGTCCATAGCAGGCAAACTAATGAGACATTGGGAAAGACGATTCCGGCGCCTAAGATAACTGTCATTTGAGGGCACTGATTGATAAATTCACACAACCAACATGATTCATCGGTCATGCCCATTATTGGTTGCATTCGTGAGAGAATGGGATATATAAATGAACAATATTGCCAGATTTTCAACACTGCATTGGTGTGGTATTCTTATCTGACTGCTGGTCACTTGTTTTGAAATTAACCTAATTGCATGATTCCTGAAAGTATGTTCCAGGAACGTTTTGACAGTCTGTGCAACATGCTATGGGTGGATATTGTTGTATTAAAAATTCCTCTACCTGAAGTTGAGGAACAACGTGTTTCAACATGGATCTGTAGCGTTCAAAATTATAAGTTCGTTATTTGTGGGTTCTTCAAAGAAATGAGACCAAATGACAAACTTGTTTTTAAATACAACCCATACTGTACCATTTCATTATGGAATGACCTTTGCACAAATATATATGGAGTGTATTCTTCACAGATGACACACTTACAGGTGGTGTTCGTTTACCAATAGAAATAAAAATAAGCCTCATCAGTTAATAAGATGTTGCCTAGAAAAGTGTTGCGGGAATTGGAGTGCAAAGTCCAAGTGTCCTTGTATCAGTTCAAGGGTGATTTGTAACCTGTAGGATAAGGTCTCAGTATCTTACTCATGGTCCTCCAAATAGTTGATTGTAGAAGTCTTCTGCGCTTGGCAACTTGATTGATGCTGCATTTCCTTTGAAGATTCCTTTCCTCAATAACAACCGCCGTTTTTCTATTTTCCACCACAACTTCAACAGGTGTTGCGTGGCACTATTACGAATTCCATCAAAACCAAATAATATTTGATAACTTCTTTATCAGCTTTCGATAAACCCCATCGCTACATGATTCTCTTCATTCCCAGTTTTCACGTCAACAGAATATTAATGCTGTACCAGTGTTATTGCTTTAGTAATATATTGAAATAGACATTTTAGCATTGAATTACAACCTATTAGGAGGCTTTTCTTGAATCAATTATGGCAAATGTGATGCTGGTTTTATTTGATTCTCAGTATGCAAATCTCCTGATCAGTGTTCTCTGGGATTGTTATTCTTAGCTATTGAATCACTTTTCCCGTCATCTCATTACTTTTATATCCAAAGATTGTAGTTTTATGTTTATTATTTCTCGACTTACGGACGTTAGAATAAGCCAACTAAATTTTAACATAACCATGTGTATATATGGGTGCATAAAATTGCTGTATTTATGTTGGTGTACCACACAAATTAACAGAAAATTTATGTTCTCCAAGAATTTTTTTGTTTTTTGAGAAAAGTTACACAATGAGCTATCTGCGCTCTGTCCACCGCGAGGAATATAACCCAAGATCTTAGTGTTGGGATTTGCAAACTTACTGTTTATATACCAAGGAATTTCTCTAAGAGGGATGCCAGATCGATACACATATTATTCGTATGTAACAGTTTATAATTGTATATTGCGAAACCTACTACTGTAGTCAACTTATTAGTATTCTAGAACACGTTCACCCAAGGACCGGGCATTGCTTAGTGGTTAGCATGTCGGACTGTGGTTCCGAGGATCCAGTGTTTGCGTCGCGTCACCATACAAAAACAAAAAAAGGTTAGAGTAGCCCAAGAGTTGGTGGTAGGTGCTGTTGACTAGCTAGCTGCCCTATATTTTATTAGTTCAAAATTAAAAACGACTGGCGCAGATAGCCCTTGTGTAGCTTTGCGCGAATATCCAAAACAACAATAATGTTTCTTCATTGTTTTATCGTATCAAACAAAAAACGTTAAAAATTTTCCTGATAACATTAATTTGTCCTTTTCCTAGAAACTTTTTTTTTATCAATTCAAGAACAAGTTCCAAGTGATTATAACATATCATGATATTGTCCCCAAGTGTTATGTATATTATTGAATGAATAGAGTTGTTTAAACAATCAATTCAAGAACAAGTTCCAAGTGATTATAACATATCATGATATCCGTCCCCAAGTGTTATGTATATTATTGAATGAATAGAGTTGTTTAAACAATCAATTCAAGAACGAGTTCCAAGTGATTATAACATATCATGATATCCGTCCCCAAGTGTTATGTATATTATTGAATGAATAGAGTTGTTTAAACAATCAATTAACAACAAGTAAAAGCTTG